TGACCGTGGTTTACTCGTTTCACATTTTTTTTTATGTCAAGACCTTTTATCTGATTTGACGGTATGGATTTTGTTGAACTATGATTTATTGTATAAACGTTGGTTGTCCGTTCGTCCGACACAAACCTCTTCAGACTCGGCTTACTTGTACGTTTGAAAAAAAAGATTAATAAATAGTCATGCAGTACGTTGAAGGTGATCGGTCATAAACATGGTAATGTGTTAGCGCTTTTCGGATCTACCTGCCACCTGCCTCTTATTCTATAATACATTGAATAACGAGTGGGGTATGTCAAGACCTTTTATCTGATTTGACGGTATGGATTTTGTTGAACTATGAGATAGGGCTTACATTAACGTCAATGGACTCTCAGACTGGTGGATATTGTCCTTTCTGGCAATTAAATCACATCTTCTGAAGTTTGTACGAACAGAGATGTTTCCATTTCTGTAGTTTATAATGTCTCGAAATACTAAGCATTTCCATCATGTTGCTTCCTTTGCACATAATTGTTACAAGATCTTACAAGTGGCAGACATCTAGATGGCGATATATAAAATCTGGATATTTAGCATTACTTGGGAATACACGAAAACAAACGTTCTCTGTATTTCTTTCGTTTGAATATAATTGAGAATGGAATCGGGGAATGTGTCAGAGACAACAACCATACCAAATAGCAGAAAACAACCCAATGCCATAGGAATAATATGTTTTTTTAAGTCACAAATATACTTATAAAATTCACATGTAAAATGACTAATCAGACAGTGGTATATTAGAACAGATAGTCTTCATACCGCAGAGCTTACATCATACTAACTATACTGAAAAGCTAGTTAGATTTATTGTCTGGTCAAATATGTATCACATATTAACTGGTGAGCATTTATACCACAAAAAATAAATATTTTAAGGAATGGGAAATAGATACATTAGTACCAGTCTGTATAGTTGCCATTTGTAACCTTCCGAGATTTTTTTCTGGCTTCATTGCCATTCATCTTCAGAAAGTTTTATTATCACGTATGCACATCTTGGTTCAATAATATGGAACAAGTAAGTTACTGCATTATATAGTGGCTTTAAAATAAGGAACTTTTTACAAATTTGAAAATTATGATGAAAAAGTTTACTATTCGAAAATTGGCTTTGAACTAGCTAGCTCATGATAACTATCAGTACTCTTAGATCAGTATACCAGGGGCCTGTTAATCAGTGGTTATTGTTGATTGCTTTCAGTCAGATTTATTTTTTGTTTTATTTGTTATTATAAATCTGGCTGTTTTCTTGTTTGAAGTGTTTTACATTTTGTTTTGATTAGGTCTTTTACAGCTTACTATATCTTGTGGGTTTTGCTTATTGTTGAAGGCAGTAAGATGATCAGTAGTTATAACTTACTGGATAACATTTGGTGTCTGGTGACTTCTTGTCTTAGACAAAATATCCTTATACTTAAAAAGTTCCATTTCCCTCAGGTAAATTTGATCTTAAATGATTTTGGCTACTCTTTTAATATCCATTTAGGTCATATAACTCAACAAGTATTTATACATGTATAATGGGTTGTTGTTGTTGTTGTTGGTATTTTTATGAAGGCAAATCTATAAAACTGCTTTGGAACCTTTAAATTTTTATATAAATAATAAATAAGTGTTATTTTTTTCAATATAAAACACAAACAATTAAAAGTTATATGGCACTATCTTTTAATCATGTAATCATTGATTAATATATTATGAACATTTGTATGTAATTTGAAAATAAATAATGCAACACCTTTGATTGTTCTGGTGCAAAACAACAACCATTCACAGTATGAAAATCATCATGAAATAACAATTATTGCATCAACCATCATAAAAAAAAATGTAATATACAATTACTCAGTTGTCTATTTAAGGAGTTTGCTACTCTGATTCAAAATAACAAAATAACAAAAATAAATAAAATGCTCCGCTGGGCGCAGCTTGATACAACCGCAGAGGTCGAACCCTGAACAGTTGGGGCAAGTATGGACACAACATTCAAGTTTGATACAGCTCTGAATTTGGATTGTGATTAAATATTTGACACAGCATAGGTTTCTGACACAGAATGAATGTGGTCTAAGAACTTAAATTTTTTTAATTTACCTATTATGGTCCAATATCAAAAATCTAAATACATGGTTAGATTCAGCATATCAAAGAATCCAAAGAATTCAATTTTTGATGAAATCAAACAAAGTTTAATTTTGGACCCTTTTGACCTCAATGTGGACCAATTTGATAACAGGGCCCAACAATCAAAATACATGGTTAGATTCAGCATATCAAAGAACCCAATATATTCAATTTTTGTTGAAATCAAACAATGTTTAATTTTGGACCCCAACTTGGACCAACTTGAAAACTGGGGCCATAATCAAAAATCTAAACACATGTTTAGATTCAGCATATCAAAGAACCCCAAGAATTCAATTTTTGATAAAATCAAACTAAGTTTAATTTTGGACCCTTGGGACCTTAATGTAGACCAATTTAAAAACAGGACCCAAAATTAAAAATCTAAATACACGGTTAGATTTGGCATATCAAAGAACCCCAATAATTCAATTTTTGATGAAATAAAACAAAGTTTAATTTTGGACCCTTTTTACCTCAATATGAACCAATTTGAAAGCGGGACCCACAAATAAAAAATCTAAATACATGGTTAGATTCAGCATATCAAATAACCCCATATATTCAATTTTTGTTGAAATCAAACAAAGTTTAATTTAGGACCCCAATTTGGACCAACTTGAAAACTGGGCCCGAAATAAAAAATCTAAATACATGTTTAGATTCAGCATATCAAAGAACCCCATATATTCAATTTTTGTTAAAATCATTCTAAGTTTAATTTAAGACCCTTTGGACCTTAATGTAGACCAATTTGAAAACTGGACCCAAAATTAAAAATCTAAATACACAGTTAGATTCAGCATAACAAATAAATAAATGTGGTCAAAGATTTTACAAATCTAATGCGCCATACTGTGCAATTAAAGATTACTTCTTGAAATTTTACAATATTTGAAATTTGAAAAAAAAAATAATATTTGAAGAATAATTCTTTTTAATTTCTGAAATCTGAAATGAGAAAAAATTGACCCCCCACAATTTCTTTTTACCCCCCCCCCCCCCCCCCCCTCCCCTTTTTCCCCAAAAAAATTCTTTCCCTCAAGATATGTTCATAATCTCAATTCAAATTTCCAATGGAATTTGCAACCATAATTACCCATTTAAATTTACCATAGTGCTAACTTAATTTATTTTATAATAGAATTTAAAATATGGTGTCAAATCTTTCATATGGATTTTTTTGTAAAAAAAAAAAGATGCAACATTTGCAGATATTTTTACTGGTCTTCCTTTATAAATATGCATTTCTTTAAACATAATTTATAAGCAGTGTAAGTGAAGTAATCAAAATGTTGTATGTGGATTACCTCCCTTACACTTTTAAAATTGTCTTAATTGTTCATTAACCATTACTTTATACATAATTTAAAAGCAGTGTAAGGGAGGTAATTCAAATGATGTATTTGATTTATCTCCCTTACACTGCTTTAAATTATGTTTTGTACTAAAGTATTTGTCCATATAAAAATGCTTGTTTTTTGCCCCTTTTTTGGCCCCTAATTCCTAAAATTTTGAGGAAATTACCCCCAAAATCAATCCCAGCATTCCCTTTGTGATATGGAACCTTGTGGTACAATGTCAGAGAGATCCATACACTAACACACAAGTTATGTCTGGAAGTTACAAAAATGCTTATTTTTGGCCCCTTTTTGGCCCCTAATTCCTTAACTGTTGGTACCATAACCCCCAAAATCAATCCCAACCTTCCTTTAGTGGTATTGAACCTTATGGTAAAATTTCATAGAGATCCATTCACTTAAACTAAAGTTAGAGTGCGAAAACCAATGTGTCTTCGGACAACGACGATGCCAACGTCATACCAATATACGATCGCAAAATTTTTTTGCGGTCGTATAAAAAGCAAAAAATTTCAGGGTTCATGTCCTTGTTTTCAAGATATAAGGCAGGAAATGATTTTCTCTAGATTTTTTGATACATTTAATGTTGGCACCTTTTTTCTTTCAAAAGCTATAAAACAAAACAAGGATTTTAAAAGATTTTCAAATATGGCTTTTTAACTTATATGTAATTTGTGAACAGAAAAGTGGGGGTTAGCAGGCAAAACATTTAATGGAACTACATGGATAAAACCAGAGGATTCTGAATACTGTGGATTCATTTTAATATTTTTCGTGGAATAAGGAAATATTATATGTTCGTGGAAATTTGATTTCATGGTTTTGCCAAAATCTGCATCCAAGCCTAGATGGTAAATTTGTAATTCATTGAACATTTGAATACATGGTTCAACCTTACCCACGAAATACACAAAAATTGGTATCCCACGATTATAATGAATACACAGTATCTGATCACAAAAAGTTAAAGACAAGGAGAGGGAACATCATTAACACATTTGATGACAATCTAGTTTTGATTCAAAATTAAAGGTGACTGAATTTTGATGAAGTTACCCTAATATAATCTATTTCATGCATTCAATGGCCATTAAATCTTTGATTCAAATTTAAAAGTGACTGATTCTTATGAAAGTTTATACATTTTATACTGTGTTGCAGTTGAAATGATGAAATGTTTATTGTCGATTGACATACATGTTTTAAATGATCTATCGTTTAAATAAATATAAACAATTTATGATGAAATAAAAATGGATTGAAATCATAAATAAAAATCAAACATCTAATCAACAAATAAAGCAATATTTATCAATAACTACTAGTTAGATCACTAGCTACAAACACTGAACACAATGAACATATACATTTCAAATATATAATTTAAATTTCATATATTAACAAACAACTTTTTTTCATAGTGTCCAATTTTGACATATTTATTTGCTACAGGTTAAGTCAAAAGTTTTTTACACATAGGTTCATGCTTTAACAATAAAATGTGTGGGAGTCTTCCAAAAAATGATCTCTATTGCCTGCAGTCTCAAAATAATTTTTTGAAAGACCCCAAAAATCATTACGGGCTATTCAAGAATTAAATGCATGGGGTATGGTAGGCACTTTTTTTAATAGCATGAAGATCAAAAATTAAAATAGCACGGGCAAAACTACATGAAGTTAAATTTTTGTGCCACTTCGGTGGAATTTAGTAATACCAAAGTTTGATGCAAAAAAGATGACACAAGTTAGCAGAGATGATTTTTGTGTGTCATCTTTAATGCTTAAAAGTTGACACACATGACAACAGAGGTGAAAATTTTGTGTAATCTTAAATGCATTTAAGATGACACAAAACAAATGGAGTGATTACTTGTGTCATCTTTAATGCATAAAAGATGACAAATGACAAGGCAACAGAGGTGAATTCTTTGTGTCACCTTAAATCCATAAGATGACACAAGACAACAGAAGTGATTTTTTTGTGTCAATACAGATTCTGTCAGGTGACACAATCATATGTGTTGTTTTTCTAGGGTACTACTTTTCACTCTAAATAGGTACCAGAAAAACATTGGCCAATTGCAAGTATTAGCACTTTAACAATACAGAAAATCAGAAAAAATATCTTACTTTCTTTCTGTCAGATACAATAATACTGATAAAAATATTTAAAAATATCATACTTGTACATTCAATTAATTTTATAAATATTTAATTTAAAACTTGATGTTAAGCCAATGACATTCAAATCTTTTATAATAAATAATTGAAATAAACTATAGAAAAGAAATTTAATCTGCATTCTTTATATAAATAAAATAAAATAATGAGCAAATATTTCAAATCAATATACTGTGGATTAATTTATTTTCATGGATTCTAATTATCTTGGATTGAGGAAAAATTTATACTTTGCTGAACATTAAAATTTGTGGTTCATCTGTATCCAAGAAATGCATGCAAATTGGTATCCAATAAATAATAATAATAAAACCAAAGTATTAAATAATATTTTAATATTAAATATACTTGATAGGGTTTAAAAAAAAAATTTTGTAATTATAAATTAAACATTTCATTGGTAGCATCATCTGCAATACAGATATCAACTTCTCTTAAAAAAATGTAAATAACTGGTAAATTATTCAAACATCTTTAAAAGATTTTTCATGTTGTTTTTTTACCTTTTCATATCTATTTTTTTCAAAACTGATATCTAAATTGGCTTAAAGCCTATCTATACAATACGTAACAATACAATCAAGTTTACTTATCACAAATATAATGCATAAATTACAACTAAGGAGATTTTTTTATTTTTCAACCTATCAAAACTCATTAATGCCTACTTATGGTGCAATGTAAAATGACACTTTTGCTGTAGTAAAATAATTGAAAAAAAAATTGAAATAGATATAGCTTTTTTATGGTTTATTTTTTAATGAACAGTTAATACAATCATCACATACATGTGACATATCAGTGCAGAAAGATCACTTATGATGTCATAAACAAAATTGAATATATTTGCCAAAAAAAACTCAATTTATGCACCTTTATTTAATAAAAAAAATATACTATGCAAGGCCTTCCCCAATAAGATATTTTACACACAATGTAAATTACATCTTGTAGCAAAATATCTTTATGGTAAGGCCTTGGTTAATATCTAAATATTTATGACAAGATCTGAAAATGGGTTTTTTCTAAAATTGTTTTGGAGTGTAAAGACTTAAGAAAAATATTTTTAGGGAAAAAACAAAAAATATGAATACTTATATATGATAAACTATTATGAACATCTAAAATGTTTTAGTGTCAGACATTATTCTGTATATTTCTAATACTTTTCTGTGTTGAAGGGGCCAAAATAGGTAGCATTATCATAGCTTTGTTTTACAAAAAAAAAATATTCTTAGTATAAAAATAACTTGTCTGTACATATCACATGAAAATAACTTAATTTGGAAAAACATATTATTGGGAATTCTGTTGTAAGTTGGATACAATGTCTTCTGATGCTGGCATCACTTCTCTTTCTCTTCTTTCTTCCTGATTATTTGGATCAAGAGCTGAAAGAAAAAGAAAATTCTTTACTATTTTGTATATCAAGTAATAGAATTAATTATATTTGAATTTTTTTAAAACATGAAATGCATAATAAACAAAGGCATATAAGTTACCATATTTACAGTGCAAAGAATACAATGTGAGATAATCATAATTAATATAATTTCAACACTTCCTATAACTAGATGTGTCGGAACAACACGAATGACCCCCGTCTCAAAAAGTTGAAAAATCTGCAGTTTCAACAACACATGTGGACACAAACATGCATGGATAGGATCCAGCTCTCAAGACCAATACTAGTTTGATGAAAAATTTCCTTGATCAATGAGTAGTTAAATTTCAAGCTGTTAGCAAATAGGAAGTGGATGTACTCTTGATGTGTTGAAACGACATGAAACGGAACGCAGCATAAACTTGATCTCTTACTCATCATGGTAGACTCATTGTCATTTTGCTTAGTTTCTTTTGTTACTTATTCTGACATCGGACTCGAGGACTCTGACTTTTTAAACTCATTTTTACTGTGCGTATTGCTGTGTGTTTGTTTATTCTACATTGGCTAAAGGTATAGGGTTGAGATCTCACAAAACATGTTTAACCCCGCCGCATTTTTGCGCCTGTCCCAAGTCAGGAGCCTCTGGCCTTTGTAAGTCTTGTATGTTTTTTTAATTTTAGTTCATTTATATGTCTTGGAGTTTAGTATGACGTCCATTTTCACATTTTTGTTTAGGGGCCAGCTGAAGCCCGCCTCCGGGTGCGGGATTTTCTCGCTGTTTGGAGGACCCATTAGTGGCCTTTGGCAGTTTTCTGCTCTTTGGTCGGGTTGTTGTCTCTTTGACACATTCCCCATTTCCATTCTCAATTTTATCACATTTCAAAAATCAGCCCAATATCTGAAGGGGTTTAGAAAAAAAATCCTGATAACTGTGATTTTCCACAATTTATCAAAGTCTCAAGTCCCTAATTTCGGCAAAAATTAGTAGAGTGGAATGAAACTTTAAATTGATCTGTAACTCATCATGGTTAACTCACATACCAAAAATCAGCCCAATATCTAAAGACGTTTAGAAAAAAAGTCTGTATAACTGTGATTTTCAACAATTTATCAAAGTCCAAAGCCCGTAATTTCAGCAAAAATTAGCAGAGCAGAACGAAACTTAAACTTGGTCTGTAACTCATCATGGTTAACTCACATACCAAAATTCAAATCAATATCTGAAGGCATTTAGAAAAAAAGACCATTTAACTGTGATTTTCAAAATTTATCAAAGTCCAAAGCCCATAATTTCAGCAAAAATTAGTAGAGCCGAACGGAACTTTAAATTGATCTGTAACTCATCATGGTTAACTCACATACCAAAAATCAGCCCAATATCTGAAGGCGTTTAGAAAAAAAGTCTGTATAACTGTAATTTTCAACAATTTATCAAAGTCCAAAGCCCATAATTTCGAAAAAATTAGCAGAGCGGAACGAAACTTAAACCTGATCTGTAACTCATCATGGTTAACTCACATACCAAAAATCAGCCCAATATTTAAGGCGTTTAGAAAAAAAATCTGTATAACTTTGTTTGCTGCGGAATGACTGAATGACGGACAAGGGTAAAACTATATGGCCCAAACAACTTTGTTGCCATGGTCATAAAAAATAATAAGAAATTAAATATCCATCCATGTAACTACATGTCTCATCAATTCTAAAATGACATGCTTCTCTTGCTTTGTAAACAACAACTTGATAAAATTCTCTATATATGTATACTTATCGCATTAAAAATGTACAAAATTAAAATAAAATTATATTCTGCTAAAATCCATGGATGCTCTAGGTGCATTAACATGATTAACGTCATTTCAAAACATGATGTCATACCAAAGAAAAGTCTCAAACTGAAGGTTATTCCTTTAAATGTAAGCTCCAAATTCAGATAATATTGCAATATGGAGTTTAAAGGTAGATCTTGTTATATTTTCTAGTCTATTACATTATTCACACATTTATTGATTTTAGCAAGTCAACATGGCAGCTCAGTCAAAATTTACAACTGTGGAGAAATCATTTGACGGTAAATAGTAGCAAATGAAAACTAAAGGCTCTCAAGAGCCTGTGTCACTCACCTGTATCTACTGTTGTTTTGGAAATCATGTAAAATAAGGTTTAAATCATGATAAATAGTATTAGATACTCTAATAATGATTGTGCATGAGGCCAAGTTTGGTTTAATTTGGCCCAGTAGTTAAATTAAAAGCAGGTCATCTCACTAGTAACTAGACTTACAATAGTTACTGAAGACCTCTTATCATTATTTAAATTTTTTTTTCAAGTTGTGAACATTTGAAATTGTTTTTTTTACAATTTTCCCTTAGACTTCTAAAGTAAATCCCTATGTTCTATTTTTAGCCATGGCGGCCATGTTGTTTGGATGGCAGGGTCATTTTTCAATCAAGATACCCTATTGAATATTGAGGCTAAGGTTCTATTTGGCCCAGTAGATTAAGCCAAGAAGATTTTTGTTAAAGATTACAAAAATTTACCAAAAAAAATGTTCAAAATTTGACTATAAGGCCAACTAAAATTAATTAGTAGATTTTCATCCAGATTTTTGAAAAAAATGGGGCGGGTGGGAGGATTTTATTTTTTAAATTTTATTTCATGTGAAACCCTCTTGTGCCGTGTTCATCATATATGCAAGTGTATTAAGCTTATATCATGTATATTGATACATGTATAAGGAATCATACATAATTTTTCAAATTCTTAAATAAATATCTCTGGTTGGCAACCACTGATCTACCTGTAATTGCCGCCTTAGAAACCCATTTATAAATGTGGAAAAATGCTCTTTTCAGTTGGACTACCTACACTGAATTTATTTTGCATTCCAAGCGATGGTTTGTAGTCCCCATAAAATGAAGCAAATGTCAGTTTGTCATGCAAAACAAATATCATGAGTACAGAATAAAATGAAAACTCAAATAGTGTTGAAAATAATAGGGTTGGTGCCAATGCAAGATGCAAATATAATTACAATGGAAAACTTGAAAAAGTTGTTGAATGACTCTATTAAGGGTATTGGGACAGAGGGTGTTAATGTGCTGTTTTTCAACAAAAAACGAAAACCATTGGTAAATGTAAGGGATTGCTGTAATAAAATACGTATGTTTGTAGACTTTTTGAACTCAATATACGGTCATAAATCTAACAAGTTCGTGCTTGTGTCAATTTCTTTAATCCAATTATGTTTTATTGTAACAATGTGTTCCACGATTCTTGCACTTTGGATATCGTTCACAGTCCAAATTTCCTTACACTAAGTCATTGTATAAATAAAAATATCCACGGTTTTTTAATCTCAGAACATTTGTGACATACCGATTTGCGTTCTTGGACACAGTGTATTACGTACTCGTAACCCGAATATTTCATGCCCTTCTCGTAAGTAAGTAAGTAATACAAAAACCGAAATTTGAAACAGGAAGTTTTGAATGAAACGAAATTATCGAGGGTTACCGGTAACGGAAATGAACAAAATCCGGAAATCGTAAGTTTTTCAAAATAAAAAAAATTGGGGCGGGACGATTTCAGAGGGGCGGGCAGGGATGAAAATCTATCAATTAATTTTAATTGGCCTAAAGGGCAATAACTCCTTAAGGGGTCAATTGAAAATTTTGGTCATAGTGACTTATTTGTAGATCGTACTATGCTAAACATTATTGCTGTTTACAGTTTATCTCTATCTATAATAATATTTAAGATAACAAGCATTCTGAGAGTATTGCATGGCAATACATAGTCCCCTACCGGGTAAAAATTCATTATACTGGAACAAAATGCTAACTTGTTCTATAACTTGTCATGGTGTAAACAAAAAGTAAATATCTTCAAGCTTGACGAAAAACAGTGTGGAAAACTGATTATATAAGTGAATTTTTCAAGTCCAAGGACCATAACTCTGCACAAAATTATTAGACGGAAACAAAAATTGGAACTTGATCTGTAACTTGTCATGATAAAACTATATACCAATTATCAATCAATATCTTATAAGCATGATGAAAAAAACATTAGATATGATTAATAGTTCTCTAAAATTAGATATGATGTAATACAGTGTACATCTATTTTCAAATTATAATCAGATATAATTAATAGTTCCAAATATTTTTTTCTTTCATTTGTCACAAACTAATATAGATTTGTAACTTATCTATAAAATGTCAACAACTTTTATCTACACAATGTAATATATTGAAACATATACATTAATAAAATAGATTATTATTTAATTAAAGGATTTCTCTTCATAATTTTGTTTTGATATATGTAGCATTCAGAAAATTAGTTTATACTAAATAACAAACAAACCTGTCAAAAAATTCTTCAAATAATTTAACAAAGAATGTCTTTTAATAAATGAGTTATCTCCCTTTGTACAAAAATATGGTTTAACATAGTACTCTAACATTAGATATGGTCCTGAGTTATGGTCCATAACTCTGGACTAAATCATCAGACCGGAACAAAATTCGAACTTGATCTATATAACTTGTCATGATAAAACTATATACCAAATATCAAATCAATATCTTCAAGAAAGAAGAAAAAAAGTGTGGAAAGCTAATTTGCCAGACTGACGGATGGACAGATGGACAGACGGACAGACTGACGGAGTGCAAACCTAAAGTCCCCTTCGACTTCGTCGGTAGGGGACTAATAACCATGATAACCAAAAACTGCAAAATTTCCTTAAAATTAATAATTCAGGGGCAGCAACCCAACAATGGGTTGTCTGATTCATCTGAAAATTTCAGGGCAGATAGATCTAAAACTGATGAACATTTTTACCCTTGTCAAATTTGATCTAAATGCTTTAGTTTCAGACATGTCAGAGATAAAAGCCAAAAACTGCATTTTACCCCTATGTTTTATTTTTTAGCCATGTCGGCCATGTTGGTTGGCATTTGGGGTCAACAGACACATTTTTTAAATTAGTTACCCTAATGATGATTTTGGCCAAGTTTGGTTAAATTTGGCCCAGTAGTTTCAGTGGAAAAGATTTTTGTAAAAGTTAATGATGACGGATGACGACGGACGCCAAGTGATGAGAAAAGCTCACTTGGCCCTTCAGGCCAGGTGAGCTAAAAAATATGTTTTGATTGACATTATTTTTACTAGATGTTATTTAAGAAATTCTTTATGCAAGCGATAGATTTATTGGAAATTTATAGCTTTATTTTGCAAGAGGTAAAATAGAACAGCCAGGCACATGGAACACTTATCATGCTTATCTTTGCTTTAGTTTTTTCTAAATTGCCGTATTTGTCCTATTAAAATCGACGCTCTGGATAAAAATTGAATGTAACAGGTCAGGCCATGTGAAAATTTCCCAAAAATTATTACTTGCATAATTTATTTCTTAAATATTAAAGTGATAGTTACCCATAACATTTTGGTCTCCAACCTGGAGGTAAGTGTTATGTTCATGTTGATGGTTATGATGGTGGTGGTTTACAACTATAAAAGAAATTACATTTTCATGGAGAGACTTTTGTTTCATCCTAATTTTTATATGTAATAACATTAACAGTAGTAATTTTACTGCCCCAAATATGCATTTAAACAATTAATGTCTCTTCAGTGATGATTGAGACCAAAATATTTGAAAATCAAAAACCTAATACACATTTTGAGATCATAAAAATAAAATTGTGAGAGCAATTTTCATACTCTGATTCACTAATAAATGTTTTTTTGACATCAAAGTAACATTATACAAAGTTATAACAGATGTTAAGCATCAATTGAAAGCTCTTTGGTTGGTATTTGCTCAATAATTTCACACGTTTTCATCTGAAGAAATAAAACACATGAATTATAGCACTAAACTCACCTGGAGTTGGGGAAGGGGAACTTGTGCTCCCATATTCTATTTCTGCGGCCCATTCTTGCAAATCTCGTTCTAAAATTAAAAAAAATATATCCATACTGTTTCATATATTTTGGTATCTTAGTTATTTACAATTTTAGGAAAATTAATGATCATATGTATTGAAGTAACATGAAAAATTACGATATAAAAATAAGTAGATGCGGTATACTTGCCAATGAGAGAAATATCCACCAAAGTTCAAATGACGATGATACATGGGAGATATTCTGATTTCTTTTCAATATGCTAGTAGATCAATTCTGTGATGACATACTTTACATACATACATATTTTCACAGCAGGAAGACATGTCACCCTACCTGGACTAATTATTCTGACTCTGGTCCAACCAGTCTTTGCTCTTACTCTTTAATGCTGTGTGCTTAGTGGAGAAACAGCAAATATCAATTTCAAAGTCTTTGGTTTGACCTGGACGGGTTCAAACCCACAACCTCCCACATTTGAAAATAAAAGGTATTTGAGGCAAACACACAACCACATGACCATCGAGATTGTATCTGAAATATTTGAAGAAAATTCACTTACCACTGTACTGAGCTAATGGATCTTTGTTCCATTTAGGGTCTTTGCCATCAGAAGTTGCAACTGTAAGTACCTTTTTCTTTGCCAGGTGATATAACAGTTTGTTGACAGCTTTTCTGGATTGTCCAATGCTACATTTTTGTGCTACATCTTTAGGCTTAAGATTCATATTTGGTTCAACAAATACAGAAATTATTTTCTTTAGGTTTTCTATAATGAAAAATAAACTGCTTTTTCTCATTAATCATGTTAGTTTAAAGGAACATAAGCCATGATTGCTAGCCAATCTGATTGATATACTTATCCTGTGTCCACGCTGCACTTATTACAAGGATCTTACAAAATTCTGGTATTCTTTTTGTTCTAGTTATTATTAAATCAATTGAAATTTCAACTTTTAAATTTTGAAAGTGTGTTTCATTATAACAAAACCAGAGGTCTCTTAAACCATGTAAACAGAAAAGAAAATGGAGCATCACCAAATCTTTGTAAGCAAAGTGTGGACACATGACCTGTATTTTAATCAGATTGATAGCCGGCCTGAATATCTAAGAATGCTACTTTATGTTTTTCCCTTCCTCCATGTCATATTGGTCCTATTAAAAGAAATCAAAATTATTTCAAATTTTTAGAATTTTTAGAATCAAATTTTAAATCAATATAGATTATTGAAACATTGCAATTTTCGTATAGCATATCATCATGATCATGAATGATACACAATCAAACTATAGTTTATTTAGGAAAAAGGGAAAACTACGGTTTCCATCAAGAAATACCAACAATTAGATAAATTAATTGTTGGATTTTCATTATTTTGCTATTGTACATGGTTGTAAAAATGGTAAAACATCAACTACTTGACACACAATATATAGCTCATTTGAACTTCACTGTGTTCAGTCAAAAAAAAGCTTCATACTGTGACAGGTTATATTTGACAGTATTACTATAATTGACTTTGATGGTTCACCTCAGTTGACAATTTTTTCTCAGGGTAACAATCTGCTCTATCACCCTCTTGGTTATGTGTTATTTATATAGTATTAAAATACAGTAAGTCTGATAATCTGTACAAACTTTGCTCAGATATTACTACTGTTGACCTTAATAACAGCAAAAGGACTACCTCATCTCAACTTTAATGCTACTTCTTTTTCTTTACTAAGACCTACCTAGTGTAGGTTTTAATCTTTGATCAATTTCTGTGTGTTGATGACAATTGACAGGTGCTGTCGTTTCTAGATTAATGTGACCAGCAGCTGAAAAAAAATCAACAAATACTGTAAATTTAGAAATTATTGCGTACATTTATTATTGCGATTTTTGAAGAACGGACAAAAATGTGAGATTAATTATTGCAATTTCAGGAAAACCTGCATACAGATATATGTATTAGATATCAGAATGCCAGTTCTTATTATTGAGATACTAACCCAGTCACATAATTCATAAAAACCTCGCAATATTTTATGAATTTACAGTATGAAATTTTGGTCTTGCAAAGCATACCCCCTGCACATAATTCAAAGTATAGGTAAATAGGAAGTAGGAGGCTAACAGATCAGAAAAGCGCAAACAGGTTGTCACAACTCATCATTATCAACAAACTGGTCAAGCTGCTGACAAAACATTGAGTCTGAGAGAAGCATGACAAAACTATTTGTTAGATATAAGGACAGAGAGACTAAATGAAAGTTAGTTACAATTGTCAATTAGCACGGTGAAGTCACTTTACAGCTAAAGCCAAGTTGCGATTTTGACAGGTGACAGGTTTCGACATAAAGAACAAAATTTACAATGCTTGTTATTCTAGGGCTGCAGATAAAATTTTGAGTCAGGTGAAATTTCGAATGACTTACTTTCAAATCAATTGGAGTAAATAAATCTACATTTATGTGTTTCAATTTTGGGATGAAAAAATAAGTTGACTAATGCAGAAATTTTAAAATAGCACATACATTTGTAGTTCAAAACAAAGAAAGTTGACTGTAGTTTATGAAATATTTAATTGTATAAATAAATAAGTCAGAATTAAGTTTTCTTTTCAAAGTTTATCTCCCCTGATACTTTGCCAAAAACTTACTCAAAGTTAAACAAGCCTCGATTATTTTCTAGTTTACTTAAAATTCTTTAATCAAAGTTCAACCTTTCATCTCACTAACTTATAAACATCAAAATCTACAGAGTATAGATGACCATCATGTTATGTAACCATGGTAACTGTGCAAGCCTTCTAAAATTGTTCCTTTGAGGTATACAAACAGTAATGCCTATAGCCTCATTGCTTTTATGTTTTAAAGTGCCAATCTGCCTAAGAATCAGGCAGTGGTGAAAACATGACAAACAAAAACCCACTCAAGTTGACATTAATTTTTGTTCAAAATGTATAATGGTGCATGAATATAACATTCGTTTCCTTGTCCAGTTCTGGTAATTCAAGATATAATTTGGTTGAAATGCACTAGAAATTAAAAATTAAGGGGAGCTAACTCCGTAATTTGCTATCATTCTAACCAAAATTTATCTAGAGATTTCTTGAATTACCAGACACGCAGAAACGGAAGACCTACAATTTCTAACTCAGGGTGATGGTAACTTCAAAATATGATGGTTAGGTCGGTGGGTTTTTTTCGGCCATGTTTTGATTTTTTTCAAAATTGCCTGATTCTTACAAAGACTGGCACTTTAAAAGTTCTGAAATTTAAAGCATTCATAGCTATTTTGTCATAATTTAAAATAAAAGTGACAGTCATTTCATGTCAAAACTATACCTTATCCTGACTTGTGCTGAAAAATTCAACATAGTACCTTTAATTCAAAATAAAAAGATTTGGTATAATTGCCAATGATGTAGAAGTTACAACTAAAGGTTTTTTTATTTTTAATATGTTTGCAAATTAGAGCGCACTGGTTTCAGGAAGTTTGGTAGTACAAAAACATGTACTTCTGATTTGAGCAACAGTGCAAATACGCCCTCCCTACACCATGAGACTTGAAAAAAGGCAGTATTTTGATAATAACAGACAAATCAAATGAGATTTTTTCATTGTTCATTCAATTATACTTCATGAATGTTTAAGACTTCTAATTAAGACAGGCAACTTAACATGTTAATAAATCAATGTAGTCCAGAGAAATTCGAGAAAAGAAGAAAATGTAACTTTTTTACCTATAGATCTAAGTAGCAAAAATCTAAATACTGAGGAAGAAAACTATATCTCCAGATTATTACCTATACCAGTACGTGAATATAACCAAGTACTGTATAACATATAAGTATTTCCCCCTACTGGCTATCAAAGACTTACAAATGGTTTGTGTATTTGGACCAGTCTGGACTTGTGAAACATATCTCTGCTGAACCCTGGATGACCGATCGTCTCCCTCCATTACTGTTTGTGTCATCATACAACCACGACTTGAACCACCTGTTGCACCAGACCCTGGGATGTCTGAAAAACTGTCCAAGGATGAATCAGGTGAAGATATCAAATCTGAATTATTCATAGATCTGTTTGGTGTAGAAGACGTTAAACTTGGTGCCAAACTTGATTCTAGAGAGTGTTCTCCACTTGCTGGCGGTGTTGTCTTAGGGCTGGTCTGTTCAGAATTGGATCTTATTGGTTCAAGAGAATGCTGTCCATTGGCTAAGGATGCTGCCTTTATGTTGGTGTCTTTAGTGGGTCTTTTTGAAATGGTCCTTTTGGCAGGTGGAGGTAGACCTGAAAATCAAGTACAGTCAGCTAGGCATAGTAAAAATTTTAAATTTTTTATCCTGTTTCTTCTTAAGATTACAGTAGTTTTTGCTATGTTTTTATTAAATAAATATAAGTAAATGTGACAGTGCTTTTCCCTATTAAATGAATCTCATTTATAAAAATATTCCCAGTTTCTGACATTTAAAACCAGGTTTAATCCACCATTTTCTACATTAGAAAATGTCTGTACCAAGTCAGGAATATGACAGTTGTTATCCATTCGTTTAATGTGTTTGAGAATTTGAGTTTGCTGTTTTGATTAGAAACTTTCCGTTTTGAATTTTCCTCAGAGTTCAGTATTTTTGTTATTTTACTTTTTAAATCAAGTCTGATATTTCTGTATAACTGCATAAGTTGAAACAGGCAAAAAAAAAAAAGCACTTATAGTACTGGTATATATAATGTTATATTATTTCAGGCAAATGTGTCATACATCCCTGTATTTGGTTGACATACTAATGTAAAAGTAAATGAATGGATTTATAAGAGGTACATTGTATTTGCCACTTTTCCATTATAGATATAATGTTAAACAAGATCTCATTTTATGTGTTGCTTCTCTCAATCTTTTTCTTAAAAATTAAATCAATCAATTTGGCAGTCTACCATTTAGGTAGAATGCAAACTAAAGTCTATCCTCCCTAATGATTATTCATTTTGGTTAGCTTTGGTAATAATTTGGAAAACAAAATTATTTATGGATGTAATTTCTGTCATTATCTATGTAACCATTGGCTTCAGATTTTATGCCTACTATTTCCATGTGACTGCTGGTAACTAGAGGCCCATAACAATCTTAAGTCTATAAAAATAAACTGCTTCGCTGAGCGCAGCTGGATACGCCCGCAGAGGTCCAACCCTGAACAGTTGGGGCAAAAATGGACACAATATTCAAGCTTGATACAGGTCTGAATTTGGATTGTAATTAAATATTTGACATATTATAGGTTTCTGAATAAATGTAGTCAAAGAACTTGAAATTGGTTATATGAATTGAATTCATATTCAATTAAAGATTTCTTGCTGTTGTGCAATACACTGTGCAGTTGCGCAATACTTAGTAAATCTGTTGTCAGACTATAGAAAACAATAACTTCTCAATGTTATATCAGAAATTTATAAAAAAACTAAATGGAGGTTATCTTAATAGATATAAATCAGTCATCAAAGTTTAATGAAAACCACTCTAAGCACTTTAAGGATATTGTCCAAAAACTTGAAAATCAACCCTTTTTTATGAATAAAATCTTATAACTCGGAAACGTAAAATCTAAAATTGATAAAAATCAAAAGGGAGCTTACAACAATAGATATAAACAATTTACCAAAGTTTCATAAAAAATGCTGAAAGCATTTTTGAGTTATTGTCCGAAAACTGGAAAATCCCCCTTTTTGTAATGAATAAAACCCCATAAATCAGAAACGTATAGTCTAAAATTTTAAAAAAATCAAAAGGGAGCTCATGCCGATAGAAATAAACAATTCACCAAAGTTTCTTGCAAATTGGTGAAAATGTTTTTGAGTTATTGTCCAAAAACTGGAAAATCCCCCCTATTTTAATGAATAAAACCCCATAACTCGGAAATGTAAAATCTAAAATTTATAAAATTCTAAAGGGAGCTTACATCAATACTGAATAGATATACATGTAAACAATTCACCAAAGTTTCATAAAAAATGCTGAAAGCATTTTTGAGTTATTGTCTGAAAACTGGAAACCCCCCTTTTTGTGCGAAAACCAATGTGTCTTTGGACGACGACGACGACACCAACGTCATACCAATATATGACCGCAAAAATTTTTGCTGTCGTATAAAAATTCATTGTACTGGAACAAAATGCTAACTTGATCTATAACTTGTCCCCAGCATACTAGAGCTAGAGAGACACATGTGTAAAATCACCTTAAATCTGAAGGTAAAAGTCCCTTTACTCTGGAATAAAAAAACTTAACATTTTCAGAAACAATCTGTTGTGATTGAATTATTCAACTACACAAACAGATAAGTGTATGACTCAAACACAATTCATGACAGGAGGAGACAACTCTGTCAGAATTTCCACAATAACAGTATAGCTGTTATTTTCTGCAATAACTTAACTGTTTTAGTTATACCCTTGACTTATAAAAGTGTAAAACAAAGGATATTCAACCAATGACGTGATATTATTTTCATTTTGGAGTTCAAACAAAGAAATTGTACATAGTCCTTTCCATTTTAACTGCACAAAATCAAATACATTGTGTATGTGGCACAACTTACCATACATGTACAGTAAATAATTACATCACTAATAACTATGTAATATTTACTTTCTATGCCTAAAGATGACTTTGGAACTGTATAATCATTGGTACTACTTTCTAAACTTGTGCTTTCAATTCCTGCACATAAATCTACAATAAAAAAATCTTGACATATAACGTCATAATATAACTTCAAATAATCTGATTATCTGTAGCAATTTAAAAAAAATCATGACTCTCAAATTGATATTTACTAGTCGTGCATGGCATGCAGCATATTGACTGGTACTCTATGCTAAGAAGGTATAAAGATACCAGTTTTTATTGCTGGAGGAAGCCAGAGTGCCTGGAGAGAACATCCAACCTTCAGCAAAGAAAACTGACAATCATAGTTAAGATTGGAGTCCAACACACCTGCCACATGCAAGTTTTAAACTCATAACCTCAGTGTTGACAGGCTGGTTATACAGTAGATAAACTACTTAGACCAACCAACTGCCAAGGCCTCTTTAAGGATGTTCGCTACTCTGTTTCAAAATAACAAGCTTTTTAAAAAACTGTTATAAATTGATAGTATATTTTAGAAATAATTCATGGGGGCTTGAATATACATGTTGTGTATCGTGAATTTACCACGGGTTGGCACTTAATGCTAAATATTTTACCCTGAGCGATAGCGAGGGGTAAAATATCAGCATAAAGGGACAACCCGTGGTAAAATCACGATATATTCAAGCCCCCATGAATTATTTCGATTCTAATAGGACAAATACGGCAATTCTTTTGGATCGAAGTGCTCTAGGTGAAGGCAAATATTTGCCGTTCCCATAAACAAACGCACTATTCAATTGACATAAAAGAACAGAGCAAACTGAATTAGTGACATGCTTAAACTATTTACAATAATGTATTTAAATAGGTTTGGATGAATTTAGATAAGAATTTTATTTATATATCTAATATGTATAAAAAAAATTGGATTATAACACATTTTAGCATCGTTTGTTTACGTTTCCTTGTTGTTATAATTTTCGGTTTCACAAGCGTGTATTCTCCCGTAAAATCCTCATATTTTTACGTCATCGTTGTATGATGTCGGGTAGCTCATTCATAAAAAAGCATGTGACGTGGGAGTACGATCGGAAGAGCCCAAACAATATATTCATATTTTAACACGGGTGTGTACCCAAAACGTATGAAGAACGTCATGTTAGGATTATAAATAAAGGAACTAAAAAAGCAGAAAAAAATGAAGAGTTTGTGTGCTTGTTTTCGAGATATTAGCCATTGAAAATTTAGTGGGAAATAATTCTCTCTAGATTTTTCATACTTTTAACATTGTCCGCTTTTCTCTTTAAAAAACTATGAAAAAATAACAAGGATTATATAATAATTTCAAATATTGCTTTTAAAACTATATGTAATAAAATAATGAAAAGAAAAGTAGGGGTTAGTGGACAAAATTTTGTAATGGCAAAACATGGATAAAACCAGAGGATTCCAAAAATCTGGCAAAATTCAAACACAAGAGGAGCGAACATCCTTAACAAATGATGATGTTTTGTTTGCAAATCATATACAACATCATTCCTTATGTCATGTCTATATTCTTTATTATAATCTTTATTATCAAATTACCATTTAAGAATGATCCTGAAGGAACTGTATCCTCTGAAAAGTCTCCACTATGTATCTCTGAATCTAACTGCCATACATTTTCTCCAGCACCAGTCTTACATATAGACCCATTTTTCTCCATCAACACCAGACATTGTCTAACTTCTACTGCCAAAACATCCTGTTGTACTAATCTAGTAAGAAGGGAAGTTTCTTGTAGTGGTCCTTCTATCAATTCACTGTATATTAGTCCACAATAGTAATCTACAGTTGTGAAAATATGAATTGAATTACAGAATAATAAGTATGATAAGCATGATTAATAATTAAATAAATGTGGATAGTGTCCACATGTGGACACAGATGATGCCCCCGCTTGCATATCATATAGTTATAAAGGGACATAACTGAAGAACGGTAAAAGTGACACTACCATGACTACCCAAATTTGAACTTGATCTGAGTTTTGTGGTAATAAGCATTGTGTGTAAGTCTCATAACATTTGGTTGAGGCTAACTTAAGTAGAGAACAGAAACTAAAAATTCAGCAATTTTTCTATTTGTAATGACGCATAACTCTAGAACGGTTGTGTATAAGTTTTACAACATTTGGTTGAGACAAACTAAAAAATTCAGCAATTTTTATGTTTATAATGGGACATAACTCTAGAATGGTAAAAGTGTTGCCACCTAATTTCGTACTTAATCTGTATTATGTAGTAATTAGCATTGTGTATAAGTTTCAAAACATTTGGTTGAGGCAAACTCAAGTTAGAGAACTGAAACAAAAAAAATGTACTTGATCTTTACTGAGTTTTGTTGGAATGAATATTGTGTATAGGTTTCACAATGTTTGGCTGGGGAAAACTTCAGTTACAGAATGGAAACTAAAAAATTTTGCAATCTTTCTATTTATAAAGGGGCATAACTCAATAATGGTTAAAGTGACACTACCCAAATTCAACTTGATCTGTGTTTTATCAGTGGTAGTCAAAATTAAACATTGCATTGTATAAAGCATTGATTGTAGTTGATTCAACTATAATCATGGTCAAAGGAAGATAACTCCAATTTTAAAAATATATTATATAAACTTGATATTTAGAAGAAAATAAAAATTTTGCAATTTTTCCTTTTATAAAGGGGCATAACTCTAGATCGGTTAAAGTGACACCACCAAAATTCAAACTTGATCTGTGTTTTGTGGTAATAAGCATTGTGTATAAGTTTCATAACATTTGGTTGAGGCAAACTTAAGTTAGAGAACGGAAACTAAAAATTTTGCAATATTTCCTTTTATAAAGGGGCATAACTCTAGATCGGTTAAAGTGACGCCACCAAAATTCAAACTTGATCTGTGTTTTGTGGTAATAAGCATTGTGTATAAGTTTCATAACATTTGGTTGAGGCAAACTCAAGTTAGAGAACGGAAACCAATTTCGGGACGTACGGACGGACGTACGTACGTACGTACAGACGGACAAGGGTAAAACTTAATGCCCCCTCCGGTACGGCGGGGGCATAAAAATTGTATGAAAGGATTCCTGTTTCTTTATATTTTACTTCTGGTATTTTCTGTATTCAATTTTTGTTTTTATCATTGATAAAACATGTGCATATATGCATGAGCAAGGGCTGGAATATTTGACACAATTTTTTAATGTACTATTGAGATTATCATGATTATTAGGGTTCCTCATTTTCCTTGGAAAAACTATATACAAATGGTAAAAAAAGGAAGGGTTGAAATTAACAAAGCTACAAGATATGTACCTCAGGGGTTAAAAAATCCACTAGCCCAACGCCCGGGACTAGAGCATTTACGCATTGGCCAATCAAAATTTTTAACCCAATATGCCCGATGGACTAGTAACAAAAAATTCTTGGCGTTTCCAAAATAGAAAGTGGAAAATCCCTTCATCACTATTCTATTCTATCCAATCAGATTCAATTACGTCATCTGGGATTCCAAGAATTTGAACAGGTTTGTGAGGATCTGTTGTACATATTTTAAAAATAGAGCAAATAACTCTTGGTGGCCAGGTATCATTTCTTATGCCGAGATTTTCAATTAACGGTACTGGGGGTATGATGTATTGATAGGTATTGACCTGTCTTGTTGGACAGCTGTTGAGCACGAAACCAATCCATGCAACCAAATATTTCTAAATATTTTAGTACAGGCACCCCAGGAACTTCGTCAGTTTTAAAACGAAAAACTGTAGATGAAGGGGATAATGAGACTGACTATTCATCCCCCAAAAATGCCAAATATGACCGGGAAAGCGGAAAGGAAAATTTATAGTGTCCCGAAAAGAAAGATTCCCCTGGGCAAGGTCAGCCGTGTTGCTGATAAAAAACAGAGAATATTGCCGTTATTTTCCCGAGCACGCCAATAAAAAGTCTGCTTTGTATGTGGGAACAACTAAGTTAGGATAGGCACCACTGTTTGTTTACCAGCAGAATAAAAATTATTCAATACAGTGTATAATGCCGCCTTCAAAACAAGGGACACCCACTTTGTAATTATGCAGCAAATTCTGATTTGTAAGGCATTCTCGGGCTAGCAGGTCAGTTTTGATGGGCTAGCAGTTCTTCCAACAGGGCTAGTAAAATCCTGCTACAAATAAGTCCTGGGCTAGTTACCTGAAACAAAATTTTTTAACCCCTGGTACCTATCACAAGTCAGAGACATCACTTTTTTTTAGAACATACCATGAGTATCACAACAGATGCTAAATGTTGAGCAGGATTCTGCTTACCCTTTTCTGAGCACCTGAGATCTATGGTTTTAACTAATGGATACTATTGCTCAGTCTAGTTTTTTATGTAGTGTTATAAATGTAAACTGCTGTTTGTGTTTTCACTGTTTTTCTTCAACTTACAATGTACAAGTATGTATGTGTTTTAATAATGTTGATTGTCCATTGGACATGTGTTGGATATCTCCTGTCTCTTTTTGTAAGAAAATGGTGTTAACATGGTTAATGTCAGATTTTTGACAATTTGTTAAATGTGCATACAACATTCAATGTACAACTTTTTTTAGACTCTGTGCAACTTACAACTTAACATAGTCAGGGATCTCCATGGACTAAAATTCAACTATGGTCTATCAGAACAAAAACACTACTCTAAATAATCCAAAATTATTTCATTCACCAATATTGTATGTTGTACACTTATTCATCACATGTTCATTAAGTGAATAGATTGATATTGTTTAATTGCACATTTCATTATTGAATAATCAGTTATCAGGTCTTGAAAGGCTATTTAAAGTTTTTGCTATGTAACGTTCCAACCACTTACATGTATTTGTCATATATGGACTTCAGGACAGGATACATTTATAGCACTCCCTCTTTTTTTATTGAATATAGATATAAGAAGATGTGGTATGAGTGCCAATGAGACAACTCTCCATCCAAGTCAGAATTTGTAAAAAGTAAACCATTATAAGTCAAAGTACGGCCTTCAACACAGAGCCTTGGCTCACACCCAACAGCAAGCTATAACATGTATAAAGGGCCCCAAAAATTACTAGTGTAAAACCATTCAAACAGGAAAACAAACGGTCTAATCTGTATAAAAAACGCTCATGAACTACATCAACAAACGACAACCACTGAACAACAGGTTCCTGACTAAGGACAGATGCAAACAAATGCAGCGGATTCAAATATTTTAACAGGCGCCAACCTTCACCCTATACATATGCATGTATCAGTGACCACTGTGGATAGTAAACTAGGAATTGATAGTTAAAAGCAAATAAAAGTTATTTCTGGTATACCTATGTTAACTTAACCAGTCAGGGGTACTACTTAAACAAGTGATTTCAGAATCACTCCCTCGAGTGATTTTGGCTGTGAAATATTAAAAATTTTCACACAGACTTTTTAAAATCACTGAAACAAGTAATTTTAGAAGTTAAAATGTAATCACTTTAATAAGTGTTTATAACATTTTCTTGATATTTTTCCCACAAGCTTGATTTTTTTATTGGTAAAAAGACAACAATTCCATTGAAAAAACAACTATGTATATGCAGAAATTGTCTTTTGCTTGATAAGCCTGACACTTTTACAGTTTTTTTAAAATATGCAAAAACTGGAATAGTTTGTAGATCAGGTCATAACCTTGAAGTAGATCATTCTAACTCTAAAGAAAACCAATCAGGTTACCTAATATTGTTGATCTTTGTCTGATAGTAAGAGTAGTTAATGAATTTTTGATTACAGAAAAATTCCCAAGGGTACTTTTAAAAGCTTTAGCGCACTAACTTACTGCCCAAGCGCACTGGTGAAATTAATATACAAAGAAAAAGGGATAATTGATTTATGTATGAAAATTATAGAAAAGATTGTGAAAATATGGAAAATCAATGAAATTAGCATATGAAGATCAAAGAAAACACTAAAATCACTTAAATAGGTGATAACTGAATTTATCAAATCACTGAAATAAGTGATGATGAAATCACTTGTTTAAGAAGCACCCCTGACTGTTAACACAGGAAAATGTGAAAATTATTGAAATTAGAAGAAATTTAAACCCAAAAATAACAGCTTTTGGAAAAATGGGGGAGGGTGAAAACAAAATTGTCCTGTCTCCTTGTAACTTAGCTGCAGAAGTGTCTGAAAATTGTCAAAAATATATCATAAGGATTATAAGAGCTACAGTTCAGCAGCTATCCGACTAGACTAGTACCTCTTCTTCTTCCAAATACTGCCCACATACAACATGATGAATATTCTGGCAAGTTGCGCATGATTAAAACTGGTTAAAAACAAATTGTTGATCAATTAAGTTAGAAGTTTTGGTCTCTTGAGACTTGAATATCTCAAGAGACTTAGATGTAGTGATATCTGGAGGCAGTTTGTTCCAATCCTTGACGGTCATGACGGTGTTTACGAAGAAGGACCATTTCCTACAATCTTTGGTGGCTGGCTGTAAAAGGTAAGTATGATGTCCTGTCCGGCTAGAGCTTCTTGTTGGTTTTTGTAGGTATTTACTCTTATCTATGGCTACAAGGTCGTTTGTTATTTTGTAGCACATGCAGATGAGTTGAGCTTCTTTACGTCTTGTTTTTTTTGGCTTTTCCATCCTAATTCAGTTATCATATTGCTGACACTTGATCTATTTCTATGTCTGCTGGTTACATATCGTGCAGCTAGTCTTTGTACTTTTTCAATCTTTTCTATGCGGTTTTGCTGGTACGGGTCCAATACTGTCGTGGCATATTCCATTTGCAGTCTTACTAATATTTTATAGGCATGCTCTTTGATGGATTTTGAGCTGATGTGGAGGTTTCGATGTAAGAAACCAAGGCTTCAGCTGGCTTTTCCTGTGATGTTGTTTATTGTGTTCACCCCAATCTAGATCATTTGCAATGGTGCAGCCTAGGTATTTAGTCGATGTTTCATACTCCAGAGTATGGCCGTGGAGTTTGTAGTCCCACTTGAAATTAGATTTTTCTTTTTTGTTACTGTGAGGACGCTGCATTTTTCAGGGTGGAACTCCATTTTCCAAAGTTTTTCCCATTTTGCCAGTTTGTCCAGGTCTTCTTGGAGTTTGTGGCAGTTGTTGTCTGAGGAAATGTTCAAATAGACAACAGTATCATCCGCATACAGTCTCACTGTTGCGTGTAGGCCTTCTAGTAGGTCATTTATGTAAAAAAGAGAGAGACTGGGTCCTAGGACTGATCCAAGCAGCAGCTCAGCCTGCTGCAGTTTATTTTTGTGAAAGGACAACAATTTGATTTGATTCTGAGAAGGGGGAAAGTGTAAAAAAAGGGGGGGGGGGGGGGGGGGGGTGTGCAGGTGCTGGCAAATTTTGTAAACAAATATATATATATAAAAAAAAACTTACTTTACCAGATAATGAGATATGTATTTCATCAGGTTTTGTTTTTTTTGTTTTTTTGTTGTTGTTTTTTTTCTGTCTTTGACTTCGGTTGTTTTAATTAAACTCTGCCCTGGTTCCAGCAACCCTTAAAGCAATAGATGACATGCTTTCTTTTGTTTAATTTACCTTCATTTCTTGTTCCTGCATTCAAACTTGTCATTTTCAGTTTGTGAACCCGACGGGCACTGGGATTCCGTATATTCGGTCAAATGATTTCTTATCTTATGTAGAAAATTCAATGTTCGATTAAACGTTTTACCGACAAAGACTTTCAAAACTTTCCAGAAATAACGTCATAAATTATTTTTATCCAATCAAATATCATGATAATTTTTAGTCTACGTCTATTTTTAGACTAGGGGAATTTTTTGCCTGATGATGATCTTCGCCTTCTCTTGAGCATCTCTGACTTCTAAACATGAATATCTTACCTCACAAAAGGTAAAATTTTCGGGAACCGCCCAAGAGAACGATTGTCTTGATTTAACACTCAAAATCAGATCATAGTTTCGTTGCTCTCGAGACGTTTCGGCCATGAAACCGTTCGGCCATATGTCGTTTCGTTTGTTGACTAGTACTGGGGCATAATTTTGTTTACTTTGGGAGCCCAAGGTCCTGGGTTTGCTGTAGGCTCTGTCATTAAACAGCTCTGACTCTGCTGAGTCACAAAAGGTTGATATTTTGGACATAATAATGAATAATAAGAAATTTACAATATCTTTTTAACTTTTAAATATTTGATGATTATTGTCATGATTGACAGATTGTAGCTAATACACACCCAAAAAAAACCAAAATCAACAACACACATATTTGCAATAAGTAAACATGTTGGGGAGGATCCTCATAAATGGGTACTATCCTCATTCATGGGTATTATAAGAATCCGGATCCGTTCGCCTAAAATCATGTTCGCTACCATTCACCTTCGCCCCCTTTCAGGTTCACAACCCACTTTTTTGCACTCTGGGTCACACCCTTTTTATTGGTTTTGTGTTGAATAAATTCAATCGTGCTTTAGTGTATTGCTATAAATAAGTTTTTTTTTATTGTTTCAAATTAAAATGACATTCTAAAAACTTAAACAGGTTTTCTACTTCAAGCACTTTGAGCATACACAAAAAAAAAAATCATTTTGAAATTCATGAATTTTTATTAATGAAAATATAAAATTTTGATTGATACATCTAAAAAATATCTACTCTAATAAGAACAGACCAAAGGGGTGATCATGTGGGGTGCAAACGTTTATTGGTAGCGAAAGGACCTGATGTTGTACAATAGTCAAAATGGGTATCAATTTTCAGCAATACGAATATGAACTTTGCATTTACAGATATTTTCTGTCATGGCGTAAACATTCGGGTAAAGGGCAACATTTTGCCTAAAGACAACATCACTGAAATATCATGATGATAAAAGTAATTATTAAACTGCCTTCAAAAAAGAAGGATTTTTGGAGGCCATTATCTTTGTATTCAGTTCTCATTTGAACTATTGTCTTGAAGGGGAAAATGTGGCCTTTCATATGAATATTTGCGCCATGACAGCTATCATGATGAAATCCAAAATTTGATGTTTTATCACTGTAACACAGTTTTATAGTAGTCTTCTCAGTGCAAATTGATACCCAAGATATTCTGCTATATACTTCTTCAGAGATATCTTGTTTTTCACAAGAACTTCTTTTATATTACTGACGAAAGTTTCATGTGGTGGAAAATAAGACAGAGGGACAGACATGGATATAACAGGATAACCCCTTCCTACAAATGACATGACTCCTCTCAAAAATTATAGTAGACGTACAAACAAAGAAAAACAACACTGAACAGCACATGGTCCAGACAGCCTAGCTGATTTGGTGCATGTTAAAAATGTTGTTGGGTTTTAAACAAGTTGTATGTGTGCACAACCTTCCACTTTATCTATGTCATGTATGTAGACAATGACATATATTGTTAAAGTAAAACACACGATATAATCCTCCGTAATCAAGCTATCAGTAGGAGGACCACTAACTTAAATTGAACCTGGATTTAAAACATATAAAAGCATGTTACTTTTATAAATTTTGACTTGGATGGAGAGTTGTCTTATTGGCACTCATACCACATCTTTTTATATCTAATGTTATAAAAGTCATGGTTTTTGTTTGAACAGTCTTCATATTTGACTACAAGCCAACCAGTTTAGGCTTGTAAAATTCTAAAGGACTGAGGACCTGTAACAGTTTTTCTACAGGCCAATAGAATTTATTCAAATTTTCCAAAATGAGTGTCCTTGCTTGTGGCTGCAAAAAAATACTGTGAAGATTGTTTTAATTGTCATGATAGTGTTTTTGACATATTTTTTTTGTTAATCATCTTCACATGCTATGTTAGTTACTATTAACTATGGGGCAATTTTCTTTAATTTACATTGTCTGAGGAGTAGGCAGTAGTTGGAATATGATTGCTTGCTCAAATTATAGTAGGAGAAAATATTTGTGTCTGATCGCAGTTAAAATAGCAATGAATAGCAGTCAAGGGTACTACTTGTACAAGTTTATTTTTATGTACTTAAAGAAGTAAATAATAATATACTTATATCAGTAAATTTGTTATATTCATATTTTCTTATAAGGTTTGAATAATCTTCCCTTAATTTTTCTCAAAAAAAAAATACTTGTATAAGTAATTTTTTTACAATCCCTAATCAAGTTGTACCCCTGACTGAATAAGAGAATGTTAAATAATCTGAACAAGGCATTGTAACAGATGTTCATATCTTGCAACAAAAAATATTAATAGCTAACCATACTATATCGGTTTATCTCATTGTTGAAGGCCGAATGGTTGCCTATAATTGCTTACATCCACTTCATTTTGACTTTGGTGGGTAGTTGTCTCATTGACAATCATACCACATCTCCTTTTTTTATATTAAAGTGCTTGTCTGTTTTCACATACTTTTTGAATAATAGCATAAAATAAAAAAAAAGTTATTTTACATGTTGTTCTGATTAAATTATTCAAGATTACGATTGCATAACCATTGTACATTGATATAAATGTGTCTGATTTCTGTAGTTGGCATGTAAGAAGAAAGGATAACATAGAAAGAGTAAGAAGAGATGAAGCTAAAGCTGCTGATGAAGAGAAAGAAAGACAGAGAAAGATAGCACTTGCTGTGAGCATTCTTTAAAGAAATTTGTACATGTTATAATTAGTCAAAATATTAAACTACATGGCGGCCATAATGCACTTCAGTTGCATTTGTGCTTTTAAAAAAAGATATTTTGATAGATCCCTGAATTTTTTTTTAACTTTAACTTTAAGGACACATGGGATTAAATTTTTAAGGAATAGAATAACATTTACAAATGATTTAAGAGTAAAAGTCATTTTTTTTTTAATTATTTTTGGAAAAAATTTAGGGGACGTTATTCAGACCTTAAAAAGAAAATGAAACTTGCATTTTTAAGTAAATAAACATAACTTGTATTACTCCTGACTGACTTTAGTCATGTTAGTTGTGGTATTTAGTGAAATATTATAAATCCATATACTACATTGTACTGGATTTAAAGTCTTATCAAAATTAAAGGCGAATTAACATATAAGTCATTGAAAGTCAAATGTAGATATTTTGTTAAGATGAATAAAGTACCTAAAGATGTCCTTTGTGTGTTGCTATGTTGCCGTCTCATTGATGCTTTAAACATCAATGAGACACATTACACAAAAGACATCTGGAGGTTCACATCTTAAAAAAAGACAAGCTTAATCGTCAATACAATATGTCAAGCTTTGATTGTCCCAAGTCAGTCAGGGGTACTACTTGTACAAGTAATTTTTATTTACCTGAGGAAGTAAATATTAATATACTTATATAAGTAAATTTGTAGGATACTTATACAAGTGTATTTTATTTACTTGTATAGGTAAAAAAAAATTAGGCTTAGTTATGTCCCTTAGACATTCAGATTTTTGTCGAGCCTTCGACTTTAGTCAAAAAAGCGAGACATAGCGATCCTACATTCTGTCGGCGTCGTCGGCGGCGTCCACAAATATTCACTCTGTGGTTAAAGTTTTTGAAATTTTAATAACTTTCTTAAACTATCCTGGATTTCTACCAAACTTGGACAGAAGCTTGTTTATGATCATAAGATAGTATCCAGAAGTAAATTTGTTAAAATTTTTTTTTCATTTTTTCCATATTTTACTTATAAATGGACTTTAGTTTTTCTGCCAGGAAACAATACATTCACTCTGTGGTTAAAGTTTTTAAAATTTTAATAACTTTCTTAAACTATCCTGGATTTGTACCAAACTTGGACAGAAGCTTGTTTATGATCAAAAGCTAGTATCTAGAAGGAAATTTTGTTAAAATTTTGTACCTATTTATCCGTATTTTACTTATAAATGGACTTAGTTTTTCTAACATTAAATACAGTCTGCAGTTAAAGTTTTTAAAACATTTATTAGATTCATAAACTATCCTGGATTTATACCAAACTTTGACAGAAGCTTCTTCAAATCAAAAGATAGTATCTAAAGGAATATTTTTATTGATTTTTTTCCTCATTTTTGTTGAGCCTGCGATTAACAGCAAAAGTAGGCGAGACACTGGGTTCTGCAGAACCCTTACGAATTTTTTTACTTATACAAGTAAAAAAGTCTTCCTATCTTCTTTTCTTGAATTCTTAGGACTTCTTTGAATTTTTGATTGTCTGTCCTTTGCAGAAGTCTTTACTAATTATTTAAGTGTTATTTCATGGACAATGAAAATCTCATTTGTCTGTTATCTTCAGAACACTGCTCATTTACAAGCCCCCAAGGGGCAATTTTTGAAGGCCTTGCGCCAATACTTAAGATCTTTGCCCAATCAGTTTCTTTGTTGAATTAATGAGATGAAACATAGAACTCTAAATCAAAAATTATGAGCTAACCTGAGAAAAATTGTTAAAGGCATGTTTTTACATCTCAAAACTTGAGAATTTTTGTGGGATTGTACAAAAAATTTACTTATACAAGTAAATTTTTGAGAAAAATAAGGGGAGATTATTCAAACATTATAATTAACTTATATAAGTTTATTTTATTTACTTCTTCAAGTAAATAAAGATTACTTGTACAAGTACAAAATGTACATGATGTAGTACCCCTGACTGCAAGTGTAATGAAGTCCGGGAATGAAGTCATGAATGAATTTAACAGAGACTATCACAGATCTGATATCAACACACAATTCTCATACCGTGGGTTATTATTATTATTATTAGCTCACCTGGCCCAAAGGGCCAAGTGAGCTTTTCTCATCACTTGGCGTCTGTCGTCCGTCGTCGTTAGCTTTTTACAAAAATCTTCTTCTCTGAAACCACTGGGCCAAATTTAACCAAACTTGGCCACAATCATCATTAGGATATCTAGTTTAAAAAATGTGTCCGATGACTCCGCCAACCAACCAAGATGGCCGCCATGGCTAAAAATAGAAGATAAGGGTAAAATGTAGATTTTGGCTTATATCTCTGAAACCAAAGCATTTACAATAAATCTGACATAGGGTAAAACTGATTATCAGGTCAAGATCTATCTGCCCTGAAATTTTCAGACAAATCTGAAAACCTGTTGTTGGGTTGCTGCCCCTGAATTGGTAATTTTAAGGAAATTTTGCAGTTTTTGGTTATTATCTTGAATATTATTATAGATAGAGATAAACTGTAAACAGCATTAATGTTCAGCAAAGTAAGATCTAAAAATAAGTCGTCATGACCAAAATTGTCAGTGACCCCTTTAGGAGTTATTGCCCTTTATAGTCAATTTTTCGTAAATTTTTGTAATCTTTTACAAAAATCTTCTTCTCTGAAACTACTGAGACAAAGTTAACCATACTTGGCCATAATCATTATTAGGGTATCTAGTTTAAAAAATTTGTCCGATGACCCCGCCTTCCAACCATCATGGCCGACTTGGTTAAAAATAGAACATAGGGGTAAAATGCAGTTTTTGGTTTATATCTCTGAAACAAAAGCATTTAGAGCAAATCTGACAGTGGCAAAAATGTTCATCAGATTTAGATTTATCTGCCCTGAAATTTTCAGACTCATCCGACAACCCGTTGTTGGGTTGCTGCCCCTGAGTTAGTAATTTTACAGAAATTTTGCAGTTTTTTGTTATTATCTTAGGTACCATTATAATATCTAATATCTAATACTATTAATTATGATTTTAACCTTATTTTACATGATTTCCAAAGCATCAGTAAACACAGGTGAGCGACACAGGCTCTTGAGAGCCTCTAGTTATTATTATTATACAGTTTTATAACAGCGCATTATATAATATTGAAATTACCCTAAGCGCTTTACAACATATATCTATTCACATATATAAGTATTAACAATAAAATATGAAAGCCCATGTTATAAAATCCTAAAACAAACAGATTCTAAAAATATTGCATATGAAATTAAACTATACTTCTAAATTTACTGATAAACAATAAAATTTATATAAAATGGACATGGTAAAATTACAGAGATATTAAAACCGTACCAATAAAAGTAAATAAAAAATTCAAAAATTACTAATAAAAGTAAGTTAAAAATCCATACTTAATTACTTAAAAATTCAAAAAATAGTTCATAATCATTGTAGGATACCAATTTTTTTCGTGGGTAAGGGAGCTACCATTTGATTTTTATGGGGGGGGGGGGGCTAGGATGAAATTTGAAAAAAATAGGCAGGACAGGAGTTTTGAGTAAAAAAAAAAGGCAGGATGAGACACTTTGCAAAAAAAAAGGCAGGATGACAAATTATGTAAAAAAAAGTCAGGATAAACTAAAATAAAAAGGCAGGACCGAATAGAGTGAAAAATAAAAAAGCAGGACAGAGATTACAACTAAAAAAAAATGCAGGACAAAATTTTTCATCCTAGCCCCCCATAAAAATCAAATGGCAGCTCCCGAAAGGTGAACTATGAAATTAAATGTTCAACAAAATACACATTTTTCTATAGGCTTGTATGCAAACTTTGGCAAAACCAAAAAATCAAATATCCACGTAAATTCAGTTTTCCTTAATCCACCAAAATTGATAACATGAACTCACAGTCTTGACAAAAACACATTTTATACATATATGAAAAAGGGCAATCAATAAAGAGATTCCTGACTTGGGACAGTTGCATAAATTTGGAAGGGGGTTAAACTAGTTAACAATATGTAGATTTATACATTTTGTAAAGGTTTCATATTTTAAATTTACACTGACAGGGTTAACATTGAAATGAGGAGTGTGTAGTAATCAGCATATATTTCTACATACAAAGTATTATGTGTTGAAAAAAAAAGAGATGCTAGTATACTATAATGTAAAAGCTACCAAATGATCTAAAACAATTCAAGTCAACAATAACATTAACGGTAAAATTGAGAATGGAAATGGGGAATGTGTCAAAGAGACAACAACCCGACCATAGAACAGACAACAGCAGAAGGTCACCAACAGGTCTTCAATGCAGCGAGAAATTCCTGCACCTGGAGGCGTCCTTCAGCTGGCCCCTAAACAAATATATATACTAGTTCAGTGATAATGAACGCCATACTAAACTCCAAATTGTACACAAGAAACTAAAATTAAAAATAATACAAGACTAACAAAGGCTAGAGGCTCCTGACTTGGGACAGGCGCAAAAATGCGGCGGGGTTAAACATGTTTATGAGATCTCAACCCTCCCCCTATACCTCTAGCCAATGTAGAAAAGTAAACGCATAACAATACGAACGGTACCAATTTTACTTTATCAGATGCTCATTTGGACAATAAATGTCTCTTCAGTGATGCTCGAGGCCAAATTATTAGCTCACCTGACCCGAAGGGTCAAATGAGCTTTTCTCATCACTTGGCGTCCGGCGTCGTCGTCGTTAGCTTTTTACAAAAATCTTCTCCTCTGAAACCACTGGGCCAAATTTAACCAAACTTGGCCACAATCATCATTAGGGTATCTAGTTTAAAAAATGTGTCCGATGACCCCGCCAACCAACCAAGATGGCCGCCATGGCTAAAAATAGAACATAGGGGTAAAATGTAGATTTTGGCTTATATCTCTGAAACCAAAGCATTTAGAGGAAATCTGACAGGGTAAAATTGATTATCAGGTCAATATCTATCTGCCCTGAAATTTTCAGACAAATCTGACAACCTGTTGTTGGGTTGCTGCCCCTGAATTGGTAATTTTAAGGAAATTTTGCAGTTTTTGGTTATTATCTTGAATATTATTATAGATAGAGATAATCTGTAAACAGCAATAATGTTCAGCAAAGTAAGATCTACAAATAAGTTGTCATGACCAAAATTGTCAGTCGACCCCTTTAGGAGTTATTGCCCTTAATAATCAATTTTTAACAATTTTTCGTAAATTTTTGTAATCTTTTACAAAAATCTTCTTCTCTGAACCTACTGATACAAATTTAACCATACTTGGCCATAATCATTATTAGGGTATCTTGTTTAAAAATTTTGTCCGATGACCCCGCCAACCAACCAAGATGGCCGCCATGGCTAAAAATAGAACATAGGGGTAAAATGCAGTTTTTGGTTTATATCTCTGAAACTAAAGCATTTAGAGCAAATCTGACAGGTGGCAAAAATGTTCATCAGATTTAGATTTATCTGCCCTGAAATTTTCAGACAAATCCGACGACCCGTTGTTGGGTTGCTGCCCCTGAGTTAGTAATTTTACAAAAATTTTGCAGTTTTTTGTTATTATCTTAGATATCATTATAATATCTAATATCTAATACTATTAATTATGATTTTAACCTTATTTTACATGATTTCCAAAGCATCAGTAAATACAGGTGAGCGACACAGGCTCTTGAGAGCCTCTAGTTTTTAAAAATCCAATAGGTTATCGTACAGTTATCACCAATAGATAAGCTCTTTATATACTATATGTCAACTTTTAAGGCCACCCTTAAAAAAATCTGTGTTTGATGTTGCCTACCCATGCTTTGTAGGGTTGGGTAGGTAGGTAGGGATTTTTTTCATTGGCAAACAACATAAGTTACATGTTTTAGACAAGAAAACAACATTAGAGCATGAAAAAAACAACCTGATTTGTCATAGAATATTTTGGTTAAGCTGCTTTTTAAGTGGGTAAGTAGTCAACATCATACAATTTGAATTTTATTTTTGGCCTATAAATTTTAGGAACAAGAAGCTAGAACAGATCTTCTCAGAAGTAAAAACAGGAAAAGAGTTGCAGAAACTGTAGAAAGTGAGGCCATTTCAGAAAATGAGGGAAATGATGCAGCAACAGAAACGTCTACTTCAGATGACAAAAAAAGCATAAATATATACAGTGGTTCAGGCGGACACATCAACTTCTTCAAAGATGCTGAAGATGGGGTAAAATTAAATTCACAATCATACTGTATATAGAGGTCACCATCAGGATCTTGTAAGAGAGGTATCTTTTAATTGGTGTTTAAAATGTATAAGTATTACAACAGCAGGACAAGGAAATTGTAACTGCCACAATAGGTTTTTTCTGAGGGCTGTTTCCAAAATAAAAACGTGGGGGAGGGGGGAGGGGCACTTATTCAAAGCACTGAATAGACACTCATATTACATCTTCTCATTTATGTTTACAAGATAGACAAGATCGTTATCACAGAAACAACACAAACATTGAAAATTTAAAAAGCATGTGTACTATGCTAAAGACTAAAGCAAAAGCAACAGGAGCCTCTTCAATACAAAACTAGGGGTGAACAGATCCTTAATCATTAATTGTGACAGTTATATGCAGCTTTATTGATACATTTTGTTTTCATTCATTTTTTTTATGCCCCCGCCGAAGCGGAGGGGGCATTAAGTTTTACCCTTGTCTGTTCTTACGTATGTCCCAAAGTTGGTTTCCATTCTCTAACTTTAGTTTGCCTCAACCAAATGTTAATGAAACTTATACAAAATGCTTATTACCACAAAACACAGATCAAGTTTGAGTTTTGGGGGTGTCACTTTAGCCGTTCTAGAGTTATGCCCTTTACAAATGGAAAAATTGCTGAATTTTTCGTTTCCGTTCTCTAACTTTTTTCTTTCTCAGACAGAAATTTTATTAATGTTGTCATACCTATCATTTTCAAACACATAATTAGATTTGCTGGACAAATTATTATTCCATGCAAATGTATACTTATTTATACTTTTAATATTTTAAGATTCAATTATAACTTTTAAAATATCTGATTGAATAAAATCTTACTGATTTATTAAGCATAATGTGATTTTATTTACTTACCTGTCAGATAGTAGAGAAGAAGAAAAATGTTGAACATGAAAAAGAAAAGAAAGATGAAAAAGAAAAATGGGAGAAGAACGTGGGAATTTTAACATACCTAGGACAAAGTCAAACTGATGGTAGTATACCCTTAAATACGCCTGTAGTATTCAGTGTTTATTCCTGGACTTGAAATCCTGGAACATACTTGAAAATTAAAAAGATAAAAGGTGCCTAAATAATCAAAATAGTTCTTTAAAATAAATTAAAATTCAGATGTGAAAAAAAATTCTTGTATAAGTAAATTTTTGGAGAATATTCAGGGGAGATAATTCAAACCTCAAAAGAAAATTAAAATCTTACTAAAAATTACTTACATCTTTAAGTAAATACAAATGAATTGTTTAATTATAACCCCTGAGTGACTGTGAATAGATATATTTACTAGTAAGGCAAAGTATTTGTGATTGGGTGGTACTTCAGATTGTGAGGAAATGTCTTAATATTGAAAAAAATAATGTTTATTTGGCTTAAACAAAAAAAGTGACCCAAACTTCAAAAATATATCAAAAGCAATAACACTCAATTACATATAGAGTGTGACTAAAAAGAAATTTGTTTTTCACTATTTAGGAAGGTCCAACCTAAACCTTAATTTTTTTACTCGAAAATATACCTTAAATATCAGAATATTTTTTCTCTCAGAAATTTCAATGAATATGTAGGATAAAAAAAAACTTGACATGTATATTTTAGCAACATTTATTCCATGTAAATTGAAATTAAATATTTCACAGTCTTGCACTATTGCAATACATGTAGGCACCAAAAACTTGTGACTTGGTGGCATTACCATTTCAAAAGTTTTTCTTTATACTTTAATAAAAGTATTCCTTTTGTCTATGGTAGATATAGTTGTCTCATTGACTGTTTAAAAAACTAGTGTTAGCATCTGTTAATAGATTATCCGTCGGTAAGACTGAATGTTGAATATCAAATAATTTAACTGGTTCATCAGATCTTTATTCAATCATTCAAGGAAACAATCTTCTTTAATGCATCATATCATATTACAGTTGCATTCAAAAAGAACATTAAGTAAACTTCTGTTTAGTTGGTTGAAAGTTTATTAGAGTAACAGGATTGAAAAGAATGTTCATTTGTTGACAACACTATAAAAAACATACATTTAGCTCGAAAAAACTTTATAACTAATTTAATCTGTTTTCAGATCCAACTCCCTGGTATTTATCAAAGAAAAGAAAGAAAGAAGAAGATGGTGCTATCTCGCCAAGGTGAGGGTCAAAACAATTCCTCTTATGAGCACATGATAAGGGTGTATGTTTTAGTATTTATTTCTTTACTTTAAGGCTGAAAAATTGTCCAAATCTATAATATGTTATATTTTAAAATCAATGCAAACAGTTCATGTAGGTCAAGGTTTAATGAGACCGCAAAGGAACTTTTTTAATGTGTCTTTCACTAGTGTAGGTCAGAAGTAATGGAACTTTGTCAGCACATACAATTGGTATTCAAGTTCCAAAACTTATTAATTTTTTGACACAATGCTTGATAAACCTACAGTTACCTATAGTTGCTTCCTTTAGGCTTTGGTGGTTAGTTGTCTAATTTGCCATCATATCATCTTTTTATTTCATATGAAGTTCCAAGTTTGGAGATTTATTTTTGTGTTACTTCATTAGTTTGTTATTTTTTTTTTATTAGATAGCCAAACTCTTGTACGACTGAATGTTACACAATTGTAATATTAGATTATTTTCTTACTTTACCTTGTTCAACAGAAAATACATCATTCACAAACTCTAACAAGTTTCTCATGCCAACCTAATAACAACCATGAAAAGTAAAATATGTATGTGTCAAATATTAATGTGTCAAATATTTAAGTGTCAAATATTTATGTGTCAAATATGTATGTGTAAAATATGTGAATGACAAAAGTGTCAAATATGTATGTGTAAAATATGTGAATGACAAAAGTGTCAAATATGTGAATGACAAAAGTGTCAAATATGTATGTGTAAAATATGTGAATGACAAAAGTGTCAAATATGTATTCGTCAAATATGTGAATGACAATGGAATTTTATCTGTGTTTAATGAAGACAAACAATATTTTAGAGACTGTCAGGTGCAATGTCCATCTTCAAAATTTATTATACACTTGTATACAACAAAGCAAAACAAATCTCTTCATTTGTAGTCACCACAAATGGCATCAGTTTCAATCATATCGCATACAATCTACAAAAAATAAGTGCAATAAAAATACGAATTCTACGTACATAAAGCACAATATTGTTCTCAAGATAAATATTTCTGTACACAAGTAGTAAAAGATTGTAATGATAAGTAGTATTTGTTTTTTTAGGAGAGAAAGAGACGAAAAAAGAAAGAAGCTTATGGATCCTATATATGATCTTAAAAACTACGTGGAAAAAACGAAAGATGCCCATAGTCCAGAGAGGGTATTTTTTGTTTTTATTTACATTTTATAGCTTTAAGGATGTACTTATGTGAAATTTAAGAAATGAAGAATTTAAAATTGATACTATAAGTTGAAAGAGCATTATTAAAGGAAAAAAATAAACTAAAAATATTGATAGGTTATGGTGCTCCTTTTCGAGATATTTGAGTTTTTAAAAATGGCGAGAAAAGGCTGACTTGGACTTTTAACTTATATTTGCATTGGTATTATTTGGGCCTCAAATTGAAAGAAAAGAAATCTAGAATCTGCTTAAATTTTGGTAAATGACCTTTTATGAGCTATTGAAGTCTTATATGAAAAGAAAAATGGGTGTTATGAGGCAAAATATTTTACCCTGTACCGTAGGAAAAAAAAACAAGGAGTCCGAACATCTGACACGAATTCCTAAACCTCACCTAAGTACATCCTTAATGGTGAAAGTCCAAGAGACAACAACCCAACCAAAGAGCAGACAACAGCCGAAGGCCACCAATGAGTCTTCAACGCAGTGAGAAAATCAAGCACCAGGAGTTGGTCCTCAGCTGGCCCCTACTAGTTCAGTGAAAATGGACGTCACACTAAACTCCAAAACATATAAATGAACTAAAATTAAAAAACATACAAGACTAACAAAGGCCAGAGGCTCCTGACTTGGGACAGGCACAAAAATGCGGCGGGGTAAAACATGTTTTGTGAGATCTCAACCCTCCCCCTATACCTCTAGCCAATGTAGAATAAAGAAACACATAGCAATATGCACAGTAAAACTCAGTTTAAAAGAAGTCTGAGTCCGATGTCGGAATAGTTAACAAAATAAACTAAGTAAAATGACAATGATACATAAATGAACAAAAGACTACAAGCAGTTACTGACATGCCAGCTCCAGACCACAATTAAACTGATTGAAAGATTATGTCTTCATCATATGAAAATCAAGCACAATCCCTCCCGTTAGGGGTTGAGTATCATACCATCATAAAATATATGAGAAGAACATAACCCGTATCATAACAACAACTGGTTTTAGAATAAATGTGTTTATTTCTGGTGCAAAGACCCTATGAGTGAATCAATATTAATACCAAAATATGCAATCTGTAATGACCTGACAACAGTATCGTAATTATATCCTTTCAATATGTCTTCCTGCAGACTTTTTTACCTTGTGAACTAATGTGTTTAAGATTTGGCTCAGTATGTTAGTTAAGTTCTAACAAAGCAGAGTTTATATTGATATCACATTACCATCTACTCCCAAAATGAATGTAATACTTCTCACTGGACATTTAACCTCAATTCATTCAAGCATCATAATATGACAAATGTTACACATTAAAGTAAGGAATTTATTACAATATTTACTTTTCTAACTCAGTATTAAAATGTTAGTATTCATTAGGGACATGCATTAGTTTTGTAAATTATAAATTGAATATTGATGTGAATAACTTTGGTTTTAATATTTGAACTGATTTAAAAATTTAGATGAATTCACAAATGTAATAAAATTAACCAATAATATGTGACAGGATTGCTTCCCTTTAATAGTAGACACTTAACCAGCCGTTAGCAGTTGAGCTAGGAAAGTACTTATTTTGCTCACTCTGTAAGAGTGCTGACTTGTTACACAGAGGTCCCGGGTTCAAGTCCAAGAGGAGACAATGTGATTTCCTGATAAGAATTATGCTCTCTGGTTACAAATATATAAATTCTCTTTCCAAAAACTGATGGTGTAACTAAGGTGTTTCAACTCCCTCAGGCAAAGTTGACCTTAGAATGATTTGGCTATTTTTAAGGTATTTTTTTTGTCATATAGCTCTTCAACTGTTTCAGTTCTTATACTTCCTCGGCTTTCAGATATTCGGCTTTGAGCGTTCCTGATGAAGGTAAATCCAGAAAAGTGTTTTGGACGCATGAAATTATTTAACATGTTGTTTTCATTTTTTAACCCTTAAAAACTAGTTGCATCTATAGTATTGAGTAATTGTGCAATATTTTTTTTAGCATAAACATAAGCATAAACACAAGGAAAAGAAGAAACATAAACACAAAAGTAAAGATAAAGACCGACCTCAGACTACATCCTCTAGTAAAACAATAGAACAGTTGAGAGCAGAGAGGTTGAGAAGGGAGTCAGACGAGAAAAAAAAGACTTCAGAATTAATGGCCAAATTGAGGGGGGAATCTGTTCCTGATAAATCTGACCATGTTGAATTGAATGAAAGAAGGAGAGGCTACAATTCTCAGTATAATCCAGACTTTGTTAGGAGACCAAAAGACAGATGATTTGAATTACCTGATTTGTGGAATCGTTGTAGAACTTTTAGGTTTTTCTTTCAAGTTAGTTTGTCCAGTGATTACCTGTCTTTCTATTTTATGTCAATAAATATTTTTAAGACATAAAATATTTTTGCAAAGTTTATGCAGTGATTTTGAAACTCTTTCTACAACTAAAAGTTGTTTGTTCCAATTATTTATTATTGAGTTAGAGCTATCAGAAAATATTACTAGTTTATTGTTTATATATGAAAATATACTAGTGAATTAATAAGATGTTAACAATGTTCCGTTGAAATCCAGGGAGAGTTATCTCCTCCTCACTATTGCTAGTTTACAAACTAGGTAAACAAATGTCACAAGGTAACAACATGTTTAATGCAGATTATTGGCGTTAGCACTCATACCACATCTTCTTATTTCTATATATAAAAAAAACTTTGAACATTTTTAAAATGCCACTTTTTATTTAGATGAGATTCCTGTGAAATCATGTGGTTTACATTATGTATGGTCACTTGATAGTTTAAAATGTGTTAAGGATGTTCGCTCCTCTTTTTTTGGAAATTTTGCTATAGCTTGCTATAGCTACTTTCCTAAGGCGTCGGCCTCAAACTTCCGGTGACAGACTATCGCAAATGTTCTGCTCCAAGATAATGTAGTACTAGTGTTTGAATTCTGATTCTAGGAAGAAGCTTTTGAAATTTTGAGTTTCTACTCTTTTGAAAAGATTACAGCTTGAATAAAACAGGAATGAATGTTCACCGACAATTCAGATGAATTTAACTTCATTTTGAAAATGAGTATCACATACACTACTTCGCGGATCTGCCATGCGCTGAAGAGAAAATCAGAAGAAATCTACGCGTGACAGCGTTTCATTCATGAATATTTCATGAATGAAAATTTTCCTGCGCTGTTTTTACTACGTACGATATTTACAAATGTTTATTATTGAATAAGTAAATGCCCGAGTGTATTGAAAGAATCCGGTATGATTGACTGAAATGCGAGAACAAGTTGATATTTTGACCAAGCCGTCGGATAATTGACAAGTGATAATGGTTTGATTTAACAATACAAAAAAATATTCGATAATTATATGGCTAATGTGTCACGCCAAGGATGAGTAAAGGTAAATACCGGCATTGTTTTTGTCAAAACATCGTTAGGAAGGTTTTGATGCCAAAAATCATTTGAAAACTTTTAATTCCGTTATTTAAATACTAGCTGTTTCACATTCCAATGTGAATATAAGGACCTTCACTCGTTCAGTATGCTCAAGTGGATCAAACTGACCCAAGAAAAACATTGACTCAACCACAATTCGTATCAACTATCATAGCCTCCACATCAGTGTTACGATTAACAACTACCTTCGTACACAAATTGTTACAAGGATAAGGCTTGTATTAAAAGCAACCGAGTCAGCAGAATATTCATGCTCAGTGTATCAAGACAAGTATTGTAGAAATTATTAACATGATTAAATAACATTTGTCCATGTAGAGACTGAAGAACATTTTTGATATCTTGTGATTAATATAAAGATATAAGGCAAACTTTTTTCAATCTTATGGTTTAGATTTAAAAGATTCACATAATAATTTTTTTTCAGTTTCTAAACTTTTAAATCCACAAAATATTACTGAATGTAATTATTTATAAAAATTTATTAGAGATGCATTAGAAATAAGAAACAATTCTTAAAAATATAGGTACAATTGTATTATTTTATATATATATATATATATATTACATGTGAAACTTTGAAATGTTGTTTTGTATATTATCATATGATTTGTAATGGAGAACACTAATGTATTATTAGTTATCTTAATAAAGAATCTGAATCTGAATCATGTACTAGCAAAATGACTTTCTTAGTGCTTAACAATGCAGTGGCGGATCCAGAACTTTTTATCCTCACACTTTATTCCTGGGGCAGTATGATTCTTTAAGATTGACCTATAATTAACAATGTGTCATCCAAACACAGAGGCAATGATTACTAGTATATCAAATGAATGGCTTAAAGCCAAAAATCTCAAATGTTATTGCCTAAATGCTAAATTTCACAGCAGCAACTAAAATGTGTTACAGGGTTATAAGCACCTCTATGAATCTAGTGTATATAAACTTTTTATTCCTGTGGTCATACTGCTATTATTATGCCCCCATCGTATTGAGTTTTATCCTTGTTCTTTTGTAAGTATGTACGTCCCTTACTTGTATGTACGTCCGTAAATCCCAAAATTGGTTTCTGTTCTCTTACTTGAGTTTGCCTGAACCAAATTGTACGAAACTTATACGCAATGCTTATTACCACAAAACACAAGTCAAGTTTGAATTTTGGTGGCGTCACTTTTACCATTCTAGAGTTATATGCTCCTTTACAAATAGAAAAGTTGCTGGAATTTTTTGTTGCTGTTCTCTAACCTTAGTTTGTCTAAACCAAATGTTATGAAACTTACACACAATACTCATTACCACAAAACACTGATCAAATTTGAATTTTGGTGGCGTCAGTTATACCGTTCTAGAGTTATGCCCCTTTACAAATGTAAAAATTGCTGAATTTTTTCGTTTCTGTAACTTACTTTAGTTCACTCAACCAAATGTTATGAAACTTATACACAATACTTTTAACCATAAAACCAAGATCAAGTTTGAATTTAGGTGGAGTCATTTTTAGATCACCTGGCCCAAAGGGCCAAGTGAGCTTTTCTCATCACTTGGTGTCCGTCGTCTTAACTTTTACAAAAATCTTCTCCTCTAAAACTACTAAGCCAAATTTAACCAAATTTGGCCACAATCATCACTAGGGTATTTATTTTAAAAAATGTGTCCGATGACCCGGTCCGCCAACCAACATGGCCGACATGGCTAAAAATAGAACATAGGGGTAAAATGCAGTTTTTGGCTTATATCTCTGAAACCAAAGCATTTATAGCAAATCTGACAAGGAGGTTAAATTGTGTATCAGGTCAATTTCTATCTGCCCTGAAATTTTCAGACGAACCGGACAACCTGTTGATGGGTTGCTACCCCTGAATTGGTTATTTTAAGGAAATTTTGCAGTTTTTGGTTATCTTGAATATTATTATAGATAGAGATAAACTGTAAACAGCAATAATGTTCAGAAAAGTAAGATCTACACTCATTAATAAGTCAACATGAATAAAATTGTCAGTTGACCCCTTAAGGAGTTCTTGCCCTCTATAGTCAATTTTTTAACAATTTTTCGTAAATTTTTGTAATCTTTTACAAAAATCTTCTCCCCTGAAACTGCTGAGACAAATTTATCTAAACTTGGCCACAATCATCATTAGGGTTTATAGTTTCAAAAACAAATCAAGATGGCCGACATTGCTAAAAATAGTACATAAGGGTAAAATGCAGTTTTTGGCTTATATCTCTGAAACCAAAGCATTTAGAGCAATTTGACATGGGGTTAATCAGGTTGAGATCTATCTGCACTGAAATTTTCAGATGAATCAGGCAACCCGTTGTTGGGTTGCTGCCCCTGAATTGGTAATTTTAAGGAAATTTTGCTGTTTTTGGTTATTATCATTATCATTATAGATAGAGATAAACTGAAAACAGCAATAATGTACAGCAAAGTAAGATCTACAAATAGGTCTGCATGACCAAAAAAGTCAATTGACCCCTTTAGAAGTTATTGCCCTTTATAGTCAATTTTTAACAATTTTCATAAATTTTGTAAATCTTTGTAAATTTTTACAAAATATTTTCCTCTGAAACTGAAAGTTCATTATAGATAGAGACAATTGTAAGCAGCAATAATGTTCAGTAAAGTAAGATCTACAAACATATCACCATCACCAAAACACAATTTTGTCATGAATCCATCTGTGTCCTTTGTTTAATATGCACATAGACCTAGGAGAGCGACACAGGCTCTTTAGAGCCTCTAGTTACTTTCTTAAATCTTTTTTATTATTGGCTAATTTGCTAATTGGTAATTACGCTCGGTGACAGCTTTAATGGTTTTATGACAACTAATGACAGGTAATAAAAAGTAATTACAGTAGATGTAAAGTGATTAAGTAGATTAATGGCACACGACCATTACTCTTATTGTTATTATATATTGATATAAGGTTACAAAACGTCTCAGGTACGAAACGACCTAGTTAAGTTACGAATCGACTAGTTACCAAACGACCAGGTTACGAAACGACCTGCGCCCAGTTACTGCTCTAGAGTTGTGCCCCGTTACAAATGGAAAAAATACCGATTTTTTCGATTCCGTTCTTGAACTCAAGTTTTCCTCAACTTAATGTGAAGAATGTATACACAATGCTTATTACCCCAAAACTCAGATCAAGTACAAATTTTGGTTGCTTCACATTTACAGTTCTTGAGTTGTGACCCTAAATAACGTTAATGCTAGCGGGGGCATCATTTGTGTCATGGACACATTCGGCCCTATTTATTGATCACAGCCTTCAATATAAATTCACTTTCATTACAGTTGTATTGATTTAAGTTAACTGTTTTATTTTTTTTTTAAATGTGGTATTTTTTGCAAATGAACCAATGCTATCCAAAAGAGTTTAAAGGAGGAAGATATATTAACAACTACAGGCCACCATACGGTCGTCAACAATGAGAAAAACTTGTACCATATAAGTAAGCTATAAAAGGCCCTGATATGAAACATGTGGAACAATTCAAACAAGAAAACTTACGGGTTAATCAGTAACAAAACATTTTACTAAAAAAAAATATGAAGGACTTAAACAAATAGAAAAATATTAAATTTACAGGCGATTGATGATGGCATGGGCACATAAAGAAATTAACAGAGCTTTCTGTATATTTGATTTATTTAGATCTACAGTTTAAGTTAACGTTTGCAATAGAAAATATCAAAATTTTCTATGACAAACATATGAAAAAAAGTGATTTTGATAATTGCTGACGAGACAAAGGTTAAGTTAAAAACACAAAAGCTGTGATTAAAAACATATTTGAAATAATACACCTCTATAACCTATTTGAAATAATACACATCTACAGTTGCAAACTTTCCAGAGGTGCTATCCAGCACTTTGATTGAATTTTTGCCAGATATTCGGAATCCTCTGGTTTTATCCATGTAGTGCCATTAAAAAAT